CTTAAACTTGGCAAAAAATCACACGAGCCTGAAGCACAGTCGGTTAAGACATTTGTTTCAGGACATTCTTAGCCGTGCGCTGGGTTTTCGGCCAGTCGATTGAGCAAGCAGTAGCTGTTTCGAGTTCGCGCATTCGTCAAACGTGTTCAGACAATCGACTTCTCAATCTGCAGAAGCAGCGGCTGTACACCGAAACATTCTTCGCAGATCATCGTGTCGAGACACCTGAACACGGGGAATCGGTTTACAAAGCCCAGGGTGCAGAAATGTATATTTAAAGTTTGCTGTGAATGAACAGCGACGATGCTCGATGACAATTCAGCCTAATAGTTAGATCCGTACCGAATAAAGAATCTGTTTCTGCTTTTGGTACTGTTAACCATGCAATCAGAAGTTGTGCTCATTCCAGAACAGACGACGTTCGTTTCTTTCTCAGTCACGTGTGCTATGAAAATTTTTATTTTCTACCTTGCTGTCCAGTTCTTCTACTTAAATGCGTGCTTTGTGAAATTCTGAGAGTTCTTTGAATGAGTCCTATCAATGAAATAAGGACAGTGTCAAAAATATGAAACCTTTCCGTGAACATGGTTTCACTGGTTTCAAACATGCACGTTAACTGAGAGTGAAGTAAATCCGTTTTGATAGCGTGATAAGAAAACAGCTGATGGGACGTTCTTCGCATTTAACAAATAGACACCTGCGGAAACAATGCATCCAATGATTTCATGTGCGTTCGTTGTTCGGCTGGTCCGGTTCGCGACGCAACGGGACGCGGGAATAATGACGCTAACCCGGCATCAGCGTTGTGTATGTGTACCCCGTGTGCTGCAAACGTATTGACTCTCGGCCGGTGTGCCGATTTCAATGAGAGGCGTTAGCAATGCGGGTACGAAGTTCGTAAATAAACAATAAAGGCACACGGACGGGGCGTGTGAATCACGGCCACATTCAACCGAAACACCGACAAAACTAGTTTACAACGAAAGCGATTCGTTTTAAAGCGGAAAACGAGTTCAAGGCATAATACTATGATCGCAACGGTGCTAATTTGCAAATCGATGAGCTCGATTTTAAGAACGTACCGGTTCGCCCAAAAAGCCTACTCATTATCCGCACTGATACTTCATCAGAGTACAAGAAC